TCTTTTCATTTCTTTTTTCCTTTTGTTCTTCTTTACTCTCTTTTCTCTTCTTTTTTTCCTTTTTTTTTTTTTTTTTCTTTTTCGTCCAAATCCGTGAATTTGTTTTGCTCATGCTAAAACTCGAAAAAAATACTATAAAATTCACTGTTTTTTTGTTTGTTTTTTTTTTATCCATAATGTTGAATGTGTTAAAATTATTCAACTATTTAACAAAAAAAACTCCAGTTGGTGTTAAAAATTACCGCAAAACATTGTTGATTTATTTAAGATGGAATGATCTATTATGACATTTATTTAAGATGGAATGATCTATTATGACATTTATTTAAGATGGAATGATCTATTATGACATGTCTCTAATTTTATATTTAGATACATTGTATTTCTTTTCAGTTTTTCTAGTTGAATTGTTCACCTATATTGCATATGATCGTACATAATGAGGTTTCAATAAAAATTGTAGTTTATATGAAGAGTACCTTATGAAAATGAAGGTGTAGTGGGGAGGGGACTCGTATCATAGATTACGGGGGAAGGGTACGAGACATTTGCGCCGGCCCTGAGGTCTTAATATAGCAAGCTTGTCTTGCTCTATCAGTTACGACTGAGTAGTTACTTTGATCCTCACTAGGTGCCCCATACTTCTAGCTTTATGTCACATCTTAGGCACGCTTACTAAATCGCTATTACCACTCTCGCGAGGTCGCGCCTTTGTTGGGTGCTTCACAGTTATAGACTTTTGCTAGGATGAGCCAAACTGGAGAAATAAGAAACTCCCTTTGGAATACGGGTTAGCTCGTCTACCCCAAAGTGAATAGCGAGTTCGATATTTATGGCTTTGGACTCAAAGCAATAGTTAGGAAATCTGTCTCGCAGACAATTATTGTAGAGAGTGTGATCTTCAAATATTATAAGTGGTCATGCCGTATAGTAATGATTAGCAACCTCCTGTTATAAATTGTTATAGCTTTATAACAGACTAACCCATAGTCATCTGTCAGTCTGAAGAATTTAGGGATTCTACATAGTGGCTAGTAAATCTCTATTATAGACATTTGTTTCTTCAGCACACACAGGGCCAACCTGTGGTTTATACAGCAACTATGCTGAGCAAATCTGACAGTTTCTGAGAGAGAGAGAGAGAGAGAGCACAGTCTGGCGTGATCAATAATTTTGACCAAAGCCAATACGCTCAAGCCGTTGATCACGATGACTTATGACTCTGTCGATATTATCGATGACTTATAGATCGATATTATCAAGAATCCGCCTCCTTAACAAATTGACCATGGTGTGATTCGAACTCTGGTCTAATGGTCGAGTGCTAACGTTCTAATAACTCAGCCACGCATGCTCACTAGACAAAGGTTAATAATCATTTACATCACATCAGCGTGGAGCTCTCTCTCGAAAGCTGATCTCAACGTCTATTTCAGCAACCTGAACAGCCTGTCAGTGCTTGACGATGAAGTGAGCAAATGGCTCGTTCGAATAGCATATATGAAAAAGATAATTTACTTTTCTCAGCCAAGAATCTCACTTGAGATTTTACTGCATGGTGTCCTCAATTCGCGAACACGAAGCAGCAAGCAGAATCTGGATGAGGAAATTCTTCCACATATCGCCATTTCTATAAACCGTTTACCGTTATATTATCGTTCTGTTTTGTTCTGTCCAAAACCTCTTGATTTCTAAAGCTGGAATAATACAATTTAACTGAGACTAATTGGTTGGTTAATTTTACAATATTACAGAATTTCGTTTTCTCCGGTGACGATCAAAATCACTATTCAGAAGTAATACTCAACCAAACTAGCCTCCTTTACCATTTCCACATACGAAAGGGCTTGCGACTTATTTTCCGTGACAATGACTGGTAGTTTATTTTGATACTGTTTTTTGTAGCTAATGACGTCACAAGTTTGGCTTATTAAACTAATTCAACAAAACTTTCTTTCACTTTGATGTTAACTTGCATAGTTACATAGCAAACACTAAAACTATTTATAGAAATTCACTATAAAATATTTTACAATAAATACCTATAATACGATATTAATAATTAAATAAATTGCTACGAGTTTTTGATTGGTGCGTTGCTTTTACATATTAACCTTTGTGAATAAAAACAAAAAAGGAAACTTATCTTAGCCGACTCATTTCGACCTCTGAGTGACTTTATCAAGACAAATGTAAGGATTTTATTTTGTGACAAGTATTTATAGACTCCATGAACTTGCCTGACTTTTCCGTTAACCTGATGAATATTCATGAGTACTATACCTAAAAATTTTGAGACACCAATAACATTTTTGCTCTTGTATATAAAAACTTGTCAAAAAATAAAACCCTTAAATTTGTCTTGATAAAGTCTCTCAGAGGACGAAACGCGTCGGCTGGGAAAAGTTTTCCTTTTGTCTTTTATATTGTCCTTTTACAGATAGAATATATCCTAAATTTTGACATATTAACCTTTGTTTAATGCCGAATTGTGTGGGGCATCAAGTAAGGATCGAACTCCCTATTTAGTCATAATGGTCATCAGACTAACCTTGCTAACCATTGTCTCATGCTGAGGCGCTCTTAAACTAAGATAGTTTAAAATCATAGAAATACAGTAAAATATTTTGAGAACTGAGTAAAAATGCTATGAATTTATATTAAAGATTGTATAAAAAAAACACAGGAAAGCTTTTCATTAGGCTAATACAGTGTAACCCAGATATAAGAGACCCGGATATAAGAGAAACCCGGATATAAGAGAAACCCGGATATAAGAGAGATTTTCTCTGGTCCCAAAGTGTTCCCATACTTACCTAAACAAAATAGACCAAACCCGGATATAAGAGAAACCCGGATATAAGAGACTTCTTCTCCGGTCCCGACAACTCTCTTATATCCGGGTTACACTGTATTTGAAATAAATAAAATTCACTTTGAATATTGCACTTTCCCGTGGACTAGTTTCCACAACACAAGTGTGAAACTGACGATTTTACTCAATTTTTATTGTACTGGATTCTCAGAATCATTTGGTTATTTAAAGGTTTAACAATCTGATAATATTTGATCTCGCCAACTTAACTTCCTGCTCTTGCATCCTAACTAACCATTTTTTAAAATTTTTCTCCAAACTGTCCCATTGTTAAAATAAATCTTTCTCACTAGTTTAAATAATATATACATACACGCACACACGTCTCAAGCGAGCTCAGAGTAGAAAAATTGCTAGCAATCTGGTGTCGCTAAGCTATTTGCTCGTACATTCAATGGATGTGTCGCCCTTAGTTTAAAATTTTGAGTCAACATAAACAATTTTACTGCAGTAACCTGGTTACTGCAGTAAAATTGAAACCACACTAACGTCTAACACGGAGGAAGGTGTAAAACTGAAGAAAGAAAGAATGCACATCGCTACCTAATAAATAGTGATTTTCCATGCGTATCTTAGACGTGGCACAAGGCCGAAAGTATGAGGCACTCAGTGAAGATCGAACTCACTACTCAGTCATAATTGTTCTAGCAGGAGAAGCTTGTTAACCATTACACCGCCTCGAGGTGCCCTCGCTACCCAATATATAAAATAATATGTACAAAATTCAATGCTATATACAAATATGTACCTTGTCCTTTTTTTTCTAGCTATATAGTTCACATATATATTAAAATATGAGGTATTAAGTACCTACACGAGACAATATAATAAGAGTGTACATAGGACAATGGAACAAATAAGATTTACTGTATACACAAGGCGAGGTGTACAAGGCGAGATAATGCATACAGGAAGTAGAAAGATTATACTGAATCCATTGTTAGGTTAGCTTCTAAGAAAGTTGGTTCAGTGTGTCGTGCGAAACAATTTTTTTCTCTCCGGAATAAATATATATATATATATATATATATATATATATATATTTACTCTGTATCGAGCACTCTTTTAAGAATAGTGTTTTTGGTTATTGGAATTTTATTCCGTCTATACCAAACCTATACTTGTGTGTCTGTATATATATATATATATATATATATATATATATATATATATATATAAAAGAGAAATTCAAAAGGTAATTTTGTATTTCACTGTTTTGTAATTCATATGTTCTGTTATAATAAATACATTGAGCTCGTTTTGGGGGATTAGTTTTAACATATTATTAGGATCCACTTGGATTATATATCAACGTATTTATTACCTGTACTAATATATATATATATATATATATATATATATATATATATATAATATCTACCATCCATTCATGCTTAGAATGTTGCTGCCATATATGCTCCGGTGCTCCTGTTATTTATGTAGTGATCCTTGATAAAATCCAAAGAAGAATCAGCGGTATTATTGGTCCTGACCTGGCATCTCGACTTCAGTCACTTTCCCACCTCTGTAAGGTTGCTTTCCTGTGCCTTTTCTATAAATACTTTCATGGTAATTGTTCGGATCAGCTCTTTGCTATGGAACCTGAGGGTTTTGAATTTAAGCGCTGTACTGGACTGGCGTCGAGATCTCGTCAATTTGCAATTTGAATTGGCTCGTTGAAACCGTAAGTTCTATGCTAACAGTTTCTTTTCTCGCTTGTGGAACTCCCTTCCGGCTCCATGCTTTCTAGCCAATTTTAATCTTCAAAAATTTAAATGCAATGCCAGTCGCTATCTATTGAAAAAACACTGTGACCAAGCTTGAACTCATACAAAAAAAAGTAAACACATCTTTTCTTATTTCATGTTCAAGATGAGGGCGTTTATAATGTTTTAAGTTAAATTCTGAAAGAGATTGATATCAAATTAACAAAAAGGAAACATTAATCATTGGAAATGAGTCATATTTTAGGGTAACTATTATAATATATTAAAACTCAAAAGCTTTATTCTAAAATCGGACATGATTTTTCAAACACCCTCACACAAAAATTTCTTTTCTCTAATGTAATGAATTTCCTGCTGCGTTCTCCCGTTATGAACAGTTCTTTTATTCGGATTTGATTTACAGTCATATCTGGTTGAAACGCCTGTTCCAGTACGATCATCGAAGTTAAGCAACGTCGAGCCTGGTCAGTGACTAGATGAGTGACCGCTTGTGAATATCAGATGCTGAAAGCTTGGATGTACGGGTGTTGTAATGGATAATGGCTCGGAATTGTTAAGCAACGTTTGTCCCTTTGATTCCCGCCCTAGTTCCACTATCCATTCACATAAGGTCATCATGTAAGTGACCTGATGCCTTTTCCTGCCTCTTTTGATCTCGATATGCTGTGTGTGTGTCCAATTCTCGAAGCCTATCTTTCTCATTGTGTCCAAGAAATGTCCACTGTTTTTTTTTTCTGATTCTGAATATAAGAGGCCATTGTGTTCCCATTTTTTGTAAGACTTTATTGATTACACGCCCCGTCATTGGAACTCTGTAGAACCCCATTTCCGCTAACTCCAGTTTTCCCTTCGTCTGTGAGGAGATTGTCCAGCATTCACTTCCATACAAGGGGATTATTATCATATGTCAATTCAGCACTATTTTTTCTTTTTAACAAAATTTTCCTCTTTTTTGATACTTTGTTTAGCTTATTGAATGCATCTTTCGCTAATCCAATGAGCGTTCGGATTTCGGTGTCGCATTTTCTGTCCTCTGTTAAAAACATTTCCATTATATATATATATATATATATATATATATATATATATATATATATATATATATATATATATTCCCAAGAGAATAGAATCCAGGTATAAATTAATGTTCAGGACAGAGTAAGAATATAATATATTAGTGTCGTACCGCATCTCATGACGTCACACATGACCACGCGAGAGTGAATTGGAGAAGTATGAAGTATGGGAAGCCGTTGGTATAAACCAATGGCTTCTGTTACCAATTATAGACACTTAAAAATATTTGTAGAGATGCCATAATTGATTTTGTTTAGGTTGGGTTTCAACTGTTTGATGTATAATGCTTCAAGGATTTTTAGTTTTAGTCTATTGTTTTCATGTCGAAGTATAATTGTGTTTTCGACAAGTATTTTACGGAATTGTGTGTGCGGGCAGGCATGTTGTTTTAAATGCCTAAAAATGTTAGAGTTTTTCATTCAAATGTAGTGTCAAGCGTCGTTAAAGCGAGTTGAGATACGGTGCGATTTTCGCTTCTAGCGTCATATATGCACGTGTTTATCGTTGCTTAGAAATCATCTATGTAAACAATGACAGACTATCATCACTGTCTTGTCCGTATATTACTTAATATGTTGTAATTGACATCTTTGATAATGGCTTATGTAAGCCGAAAGCTTAGATGTATTAAAAAAATATGGAGCAATATTGTGAATTTCTTTCTTCGTTCAACGATAATGTTATTAAACTTATCAGACGTTACGAAAAAAATTTACATAAAATAAATAGACAACACTTGTCTATATTAATGAAACGTGTATGAATGAAAAGATGCTGCCTAAATACACACAATATATATATATATATATATATATATATATATATATATATATATAATAGAGAGAGACAGACATCTCCAATTCATATTTTGGGTTTATTCTTTTAAAGACACCCATACATTTGTTTGCCCGGGTGTACATGATTGGAATTGTATAACCACACGTCCTGTATACCCTCATCCACCGCCCGTCTAAAAATGTCTGCCTGCGTCATCCGTTGGTATACGAAGCTTCTCCCCACTCATCTTTTTTTACGATATGACCTTCGCAAGTGTTTCATTGTTCTTAATAAAAGATTTGCACCGATAAAACCTTTTTGTATGGTCGTTGCTTGGGATTAAATTTTCAATGTTTCGGATATTCAGAAAATTTCCTATATCCGTAATAACTTTCAAATAGTATGGATATTTACTTGATCCCCCCCCCCCACTGAATTAAGTTGTGAGACAAGGTCAGTTTTTAACGTGGGGACCCGAATGTTTTCAATCGGGCCGCTGGTCCAAGCTAGTCATAGCTTGTCCAAGATGATCAGAACTGGTCTAAGCTAGTCATAGCTGGTCTTGGATTGTCCTAGCTGGTCCAGGCTGGTCCAAGATAGTCCTAGCCGTGATACCACCAGCCCAGGGACAGAGCCCCGTTCCAGGTAAGTATGAACTTTCAAATAGTATGGCCTTGTTCACAAATCTAATAATCAAAGACAGTGATGAAGCATCAGAGCTTGATTCAACTGCAAACGCATAAACGCCCTCCTCCTTCTTCGCAAGTTTACTGCAAAGCTTAGAGAAATTCGAGAAATTTTCCCTTTTAACGTTTCAATAATCCTTCTCAAACAATCTTTGCATCAAACGTTGTTCAAATGCTAATTTAAGATGGAATCATAAGAAGAAACTATTGGGTAAATGGCAAAAGCCGATTTGGGATCTAATTTGTCGCACATTTCGTCCACTTAACTGAAATAATCTAAACCAAACATTCGTGCAAGACAATTTGTGTGTCTTATGTAATTTACATGGCAAATTTAGAAAGCATCAGATGAAAAACCAGGTAGTTATGGCCGAAAAACGGGCTTTTTTAACAGTTTTTCGTGGTTTTCCGTTATAGGCGGGGAAGCGAGCAGGACTTAAATCACATTCTTAAATCTTATTTCTTGCATGATGGCAAATTTTTTTGCAACATGTTTGAAGAAAATAGGATAAGAAATGTGTAAGTTATTCAAGTTTTTATTTATAGTAGGAAAATGATTTTCTCACAGTTTTTTGCAATTTTTTGTGTGATGTCAGTGTCGTAGGAAAACTATCAATCACTACATAAACCTCGTTACATGAGCTGATGTTTTGCATTAAGTGCAAAGAAGATCAGCTCATCCAGTGAAAATTTGTTTGCATGTAACTTTGCCTTGGTTTTTGCAAAAAGTCGTACCCACCTTTAGTTTTATCGATTTTTCTGACAAAACTGGAGAAGGGTGGCCTGGGGATTGAAAAGTTAATCTTGACCTGTTTTAGTAAATTTGCAACTTGTGTGTACAATTTCATCGAAATCGGTCGAGAAATGTGGACGTGTATAAATAGCATACACACACAGACACACACCCAAACATAAAAACAGGCATCTTCTGCTTTATAGATATAGATTAAGATTACGCCACCCATCACCACCGCGATGAAAAATTCAACTCCCTCGCTGTAGATGTTGAAAAAATATGGAGAGAAAACACAATCTTGTCCTAAAGAACTACATTCAAATAAAGAAATGAGACTGAAGACACCCCGCCCTGAGACGCCCCGCCCTATGAGAACAGTTGTCTGACTTCGTTTTCTTCGTCAATTACAGACCAATTTCGGGCTCGTTGACCGCACAAACTGTGAAAATAGGTGATCCTACCATACTGATAATAGGAGTCGACGACGATAATTAATAACATATGGTAATTATTAATAAATTAATAATGTTATTTTCTTGCCTTGAACGGCGGTAGAAAACTCGCTTATTCACCACCTGTGTCAGTCGATGATGAAATAATTATAAGAAAACCCAAATGAATTGAAACTGATCCGTTTGAACCTGGAACTAGACAAGGTCAGCAAAGTCATTGTGATCGTGAAACAAAACGAAAAGGTCGCCTTCGTTCAAGATCGACAAATGCGTACACCGCCTCGGTACAAATTTAGATCAGTGGTTCTCAACGTGGGTCCGAGAAATTAAAGAAAAAATAGGCCTGAAGATGCAGACTGAAAAGAGAGAAGACTTTACGCCTGAAACTGAACCAGGATTTGGAAGTTCAACTTGACACACGCTGATAGACACCAGGAGTAGTGTAATCAGAATTTATATTTTCTTCTGCTTTTGTAAATCTATATCTATAATTCTCAAAATGTGTACGTATGTGTATGTGTGTGTGTGTGATTGGATGTTGTTTATGCGTTTCCACAGTTTTCATCCGATTTCGATGAAATTTTTTGTTTGATAGATAATTCTTCAGTGCGGGTTTTCAGTCCAAATTGGCTTGAAAAATTACAACCTTGAAGGTGAAAAATCAAAACTGATTTTTTACACTTTGCGCAAAAATCAAAGGCAAAATTTAATGTCTGTAAAAAACAGCGTACAATCAATTTATAGAGTTGAAATCTAACACAAAAGAATTATAAAAAAATTATATTATAAATAAAAATGATCGTATATTCTTATTATTATTATTATTATGGTCCATGGAAGAGATTCTTTCTTTGCAAGATTGAGATCGCAAAAACGGCCATTTTCAGCCCCCCCCCTCTTCAAGTTGTTAATCCCTCCACCCATTTGGGGATGCGCCTCAGTTGCACCCAAATATTGTTACTAATATGGTTTTTCGGGTGGGATGACTTTAAACTTAAACTGCTCTAATTGAACGGCAAAAATTCCCAGTAATGAAACACCCTGTCGAAGACGAGTTATACTGCTAGTATAATGTATTTCCTGTTGATGGAACTTGTGCTTACGTGGGCCGGAAATGAATTTGATACCAAAAAATGGGCCATAAGGAAGAAAAAGTTGAGAAGCACTGATTTTGATCATCGGTCAAGATATGTTGCCAAGACACAGATGACAATCAAGATATGTGAAAATCAGCCAATTGACACACTCCTCCACTTATGCAATAGAGGAGGCAACGGGAAACCACTGTATTATATTTTCCAGTTATCAAGGATGTTTTTTTTTAACTTTGATAATGGCTAACTGAATAACCGAAAACGCTTGGATATATAGAACATTCGGATAGTTTTTACACACTTTATGTCCAAAAACGAAAACTGAAAGGAACACAAGAAAAATTGAATAAAAAGCTTAGTCGCAGTACCTTGTCAGTCGTTTTTAATGAAACACATATAGACCCTTGTACAAATTAATTGAAACAACCGCTTCAGTTTCCTTTCTTTCACCATACGTTCAGTTTTAAACTCTATTTTTTCTTTAGATTAGGTCATTTGCAGTGGTATGCAATAATATGAATCTATTTTCGGGATGTATGATGACATTTGTTTGGCCTTGAAAAATATTGCGCCATCCGTGATTGCATCAGATTTTTATCACACTCAGGCACTATTGTCCCGACTGTCGATTAGTAGTCCTACGGTCATTTTCTGCGATGGACGTTACTCCAAGGAAGTGTACGAAAATTGTAACGCTGCACGAATACACTGGCAAGCCTTACCAGTGAGCAAATCAAAGTACTATAGACTGGACCGGAAATTCTCCTGATTTAAATGCAATCGAGAATCTGTAGTCAATCTGCAAGGAACGACATTATAGAGTGGATATACGAAGTACTAATATGTGCACGGGGTCATGTTTCATTGGATAATTTTTTTTTATAAGCATTACGCCCCGAGCAAGGCGTGAAGCCACTAGGATGCAGGGGTTTGTAGAAGATTTGGAGCAAGAGCAGATAGGAGTGATAGAAGAAAGGATGAGGAGAGGGTTAGTGGATAGATCAAGGTAACTGGAGATGTCGATTGACATTACATTTGAATAGTTGGAGATTATAGCTCCCAGGGAAACAGTAATTGGGAAGGGTGTTCCACAGGCGAGATGTATGAAGCTATTGGAGTAGAAGAGACGGCTACATTTAAAAGTTTCTACAGTGTAAGGGTGGGAGCGAGATGCCAGCCTCGTAGGGCGCTTGAATTCATGGAATCTGGGAACCAGTGGAAAAAAAAGTAAATAACGGAATTATTCGTTTTGTTTCAATTAATTTAAATTTATGTACATTCCATCTGAGCAAAATGTAACTTATTCATTAAAACTATGACCGGAGTTAAATTGAAGTTTATCTTTACCTTTGTAGGAATCGAATCCCCGAAGTTTAATTTTAATGTCCTTGGTATCAGTTATTGGGAGGGTTATAAATACTCACTTAGATTTTTGCTATTTTTCACAGATTATTTTGCCCTGCTATAAGGTTGGGTGATCCCCACAAGCATATGAATATGGTCTGATAATTTACCGAGTTGTAACTTTATCATCTCATCAGCAACCGCTGAGAGCCAAAATTGAATTTATAGAATCTGGATACTATGGCTGATAACATTGGTATTTAGTTTCTTCAGCTCTCAGATGTAAATAGGCAGACTCAAGTTCAACCTACGTACGTCGCTGTATTTGCTACATTTTCCTGATTGAATATTTTTCAATCGAGATGTTCTTAATAGGTCACCACTTCTTCATTCTTTTATGTGCCGTGTCCCTTCAGGACGTAGACGATCATGGCCCTCCACATCTTTCTGTCCCTTGTAGCTCTTGATAAGCTTTGTCTTTTTTATTATTTCTCCCAAACCCTGTTCTGCTATCCATTTGTTCAAGCCCATCAATATGTTACGCGCTGCTTTCCTCTGTCCCTCAGTCTCGTGGGTATCAGGTTTTCCAAGCCCTCCTTCCTCATCACGTGCCCCAGTGAACGTTGGACAATTTCTGTAAAGATGAAGAAGAAGCAACAGAAATGTGGTTCTACAAAAGGATGCTGAGGATACTATGGGACGAACATATGAGCAATAAAGAGGTTTTGGAGAGAACGGAAACAAAAAGGGTCGCCATTAATCAACCAAAAAGCCACTCTTTGTTTACGCTGACCCGATTAAATTGTTTACTGGTCTAAATAAGCAAAGAAAATTATTAGTGATATTAGTGTGTCGTTCGTTTTGTTTTTGTTTTTTAAAGGTCCATTCATATAAACGAATCATGGCTTTAACCAACGACCATGCTGAAGATACTAATATTGGCTTGTGAAATAACTTTAGTATTTCTCAACAACTAGTGGTCTAATTAGATAATTATTAAGCTTATCTGACACAAGACTACAATCGTATGTCACCCAGTGAAGATCGCAAGGATTCTTACTAACAAAGGCTTGTAAAACTAGCTTGCTAATCATCACTATTCAATTTATTTAAGGGAAGTGTCATTATATTTAGCCTCGTCTGACACGAACATACATAACAATACAGTCAGTGTACCTAGAACTTAATAACAATGGCTGACATAACAATCTAAAATATGGCCGACATAACAATCTTAAATAATTTCGACACCAATATTCACAGAACTTAAAACGATTATTTGGTTACTTATTTTAGTGCATTTTACTTGTCATTAGTGCGACGTGATGCAAACAATAGCTAGTGCATTATTTAAACAAATTAACCATAAATAGTCATCGTTATAGTCATCTGTCACACTTATGTTGAAGCTAACTAAGATTACATTTTCGTAAGTAGCGAAGTAATCGTTCTAAGTAACGTGGTTAATCGAAATAAATGCTGCGTAATTTGTTACGAATATTTTCAGGGTCGACATAACAATCTAAATCTAATCCGTCGAGCACACGATGTGCAATTATAGTTTATTTAGAAGGATGAAACTCGGCGGTTTAGTAATGAGTTCTAACAAGAGTTCCATCTTAAGTGAGTGCTCTGTATGTAGCTTGTTAAACTTCATAAATAACGAACGTATGACTATTAAATTAAAATTAGGGCGTGCCATCGAACTAGCTAGTACTAGCGATGCAAGAGTGACCTTAACATTGTATTCAGTCTCTTACTCAGCGCAGTGTCTGCGTAAGTGAAGTTATTTCCGCCCGGGAATTGTTACACCAAATCTCAGGCGAAGCCCCACCCCTTGAAAACAATCTTACGACTGACAATTTATCCATATTCTCCTGATGCGTATCCTACTTCAAAAAACGTCTACTTCAATTCTCACTGGTGTATTTTACGTCGAGAATACTAAAAATAATAATCGTTTCTTCTTTTTTTTCATTTCGGTGAAAAGCAAAACATACCAACGTATTTTATGCGGCATCCTTATCAGCCGGTCCAATAATAGATCACGTAATGTTAGAGCCAGATGGAAATATTTTCTTTGCTAAATTTAGCAAACGAACTCTCTTTTGAAAGAGTAAGTAGGCACATCAGTAACTCGTAACCTAATCACAATAAAAAAAAAACTTTTATGCTATACAATAAATACAGCAAATATTTATTTTTCAATATAATAACCTCCTTTCTCATTATAATTAATTCTGTTGCTAAAATATCAATTCAACATGAAGCAGTGAATAATTCAGATGAACTTTCAAATGAGTTCATATCACGCTGCTTTTGAATCGAACCCTTTATTTCGTCCACCGGGTGTAGATTGTTCTAGTTCAACGTGCCATGCCTCTTCTGGATGTCTGTTATTCCCCTCTTTAACTCAGCTCTCCAGGTTTTTTGGCTCAGAGTCCTTTTGGTCTAGTCACTGGGTTTAACCAACGCCTTTATCCACTGGGCCGTGTGTCCTTAAGGAAACATGACTCGGTGGACAAAATAAAGATGTCAGTTCGAAATTCCAATCGCCTGAAGAAGGCCGGATCGTACAACGGCTGAAACATTGTGAATATGGCAATGAAGATGAAGATAACAGTCCGAATGATGTAAATAATGTAAACCTCCCTCGGTTTATTTTATATTTTAAGCTTTCGGGTTGTTTTCTTACTATTTCTGATTACATATACCTATATTGTGTGTGTGTACATTTGCATATCACTGTAAGGCGGAAAATTCCAGAAACGTAATTTTTGTTTCATAGATAGCCACAATAATTTCAAGTAGCCCAGGTTGATCTCGGAGGTCACCAAGGGCCATTAAAAAGCACAGCATCTAATTTCTAACCAAATTAAGTAATGTTTAGCCAAATGGAGTGTGGTATCGACTTCGTTATATTCATACGAAGATTCACAAGACATCCAATTATGACATTGGTAACAAGAAGTTGACCTCAGAGTTCACGCAACGTCACCATATGTCATCAAAAAATATATCGTGCTTCAAATACTTTGAGACATATTGTCATGGAGGTAAGATGAGATTCAATTCCACTTCAGAAGTCACAAGATATCATTGTTTGTAAGGGTTCAATTCGCATTGAAGTTAAATACTCATATTACTAAAGGTAGATTGATAAGCGTAATTAATATGGGCAGGAAAACCTGACAGAACCACGGTAACCAGACGTCAATGTTGCGATTAAAATGACTTCTTTTTTCTTTTTTTTTTTTTTTCAGTCAAACGAAAGAACGAAACAATTTTGTTTCTAAAATGTTATTAATCTGGCAAATATTTTCAAACAAAAATTCTAAAATATTCGGCATTAAAATTGATTTATTTTCAATTGATTTAAAGGTAAAGAGAAAAAAATGGTCCCAAACAACAGAATCTATCAACGTCTCTGTTAGAGAAGTATTCTTGTTCTAAAGACTGATGTCGCCGAATAAATAAATCTGTCGGAAAAGATTATTATAGAACCTCTAATTTGTTGAACAGACTTCTGAGTGTATACTTACCCGATCCCTAAAATCTGAATCTTAGAGACAAACTTTATCTATCCTACATATCCTTATATTCTGTATTTACTTGTTCCATTTACGTCTATTCAGTAACCTTGTCCTTGGGTCTTGTATTAAGTGAACATTTAATAAAAAAAAATGTCCAACACTAAAAGTCAATTGTCACAGTTCTGAGCTCTTCGGAGTTTCTTCAGAAACCAATTCAGTTCTTTAAATTTCTTGAACTGTCTGGTGTTCCTCCCCACGGGATTCAAGTAAGGTTGGTACGGCAACCCTGCTTCTCAAATCTCCACCATCCAAAGTTGTGCAATGGAATTCGCTTAGCTGTCAAGCAGCCTCTCCTACATGTCATTGTGACATATATACATATATATAAGCTGAGTTAGGCAGAAAGGAGGATGTGTCACTCCTTCAATACCCATAATTCTTACAAGATTGCTCTTTGAATTCAACCAACTTCCATTCCCAATGAGGTTGATCTTTGGTAGGACCATCTATCAAAAGCGTTGGCCTCAGCCTGCCTTCTTTATGCTCTTCTCGTGACCAGTTTTGTTGGTTGGTCTCGGGTCAGTTCCCCAAACAAACCTTTGATACTAGCAACCAGTGGGAGACGAATTAATTAATTGCATGTATTTGGGCAGCAAATTTTCCTTTCTGTACGTTTCATTAAAAATCAGCGAAAGTTCCGTTTTATTTTTTAGTTATTTTTTAATATTTCCTATAACTTTTAGATTTTGGTAGGTATTTATAGAGTCACGGTGGAGTAATGGGTTTGGATTGAGAAATCGGAGAGCCGAGTTCGAATTCCAATTGAGTTCATTACATTCACTTACGTGTTAATAACCTTGGGAAAGGTATGTATCCATCTCTGCTCCCCCACCCCAGCTGTGGGTAAATATCAGCACAGACTACGTCTAGGAGAAAGAGAACTCTGAATTCAAAATCTGTGTGAGGACCGGTACTGTTATTTCGTCGTCAAAAGCCTGGAAAGGAGATGGGCGCTGTCAAGCTATCTGAAAGCTACTCCCTTACCGGTAAAGTGCAACAACTCGTCGTAGCATCTATTCCGCAAGTTGAACGAGCTTCTGGGGTGATATATGGAACCGTACCGTCTCGATAGCGCCCTGATATTTCATGCGTGCGAATAGATGCTTGATTCGACTTGTTTCTGACGAGCTTTGAGAAATCTCTAGAATGCTTCTCGGCTTATTTGAAGCTAGACAATGCTGACCTGATCTCCTGCGTATATTTCTGATATCTCCTTCAGTGTACTCTTTTGAGCCAATATCGCTTGTTTGTTACCCTAGGAAATTCTAACTAGATTACTCTGTTGGTTTGTTTTTTCTACAGCTTATCAACTCATTACAGGTTATTTAAAGCCAGAAAATAATTTTAGATTGTGTTTTTTTTTTTTTTTTTTTTTTTAGAGATAAGGGTTTATTGATAAAAGTCTTACTAATTAACCCATAACCTGGGGGAGAATCGGATAATTCATACTATCATGATATTTGCACGTAAGTGAATATAACGAACCCAGCGGGAATTGGAATTTTGCGAATTACCAATTCTGAGTCATTATCGATTACACCACCCACACATCCATGATTACAGCACCAAGCTTTCACCTATCTTGGTACTGAACAGGCTCAACGTTGCTTAACGTTTTATATAATATCATTAAAAATTAACAATTTGGAAATTTCTAAATATTTTTAGATTGTGAGTTTTATTTATTTTTTTTTTTTTTAGAGATAATAAGGGTTTAATGATACAAGTCTTCCTAATTAACCCATAGCTTGGGGGAGAAGAGGTGGATCCATACCATAAGGGTATTTGTACGTAAGTGAATACAACGAACCCAACGGGGATTGGAACTCCGTTATGCAATTACACCACCCGCACATCCATGCTTACAGCACCTGATATTCCCAAGCGGTTACCCATCTCGGTACTGACGAGGCTCGACTTAACTTCAGTAACGGGAACCGATGTTTCAACGTAATATGGCCGTAAGTCTCAAAAGGCTCTAGTCACGATAGTTAAAAACCAGTTGTCGGCTAATTCGCTGTCGGTGGTGATACCTCCTTCCGTCAGTTATTCCAGATGCACGCCCCAGACACCTTAGATCGATGGACGTCAGATATCACGATCATTTCAAACACGCCATAACCCATCCGTCTGGGGTCTATAACATGATAATGCCTCGTTCGAAATCCAATATTTTCAGGATACCTTGCTGTGTTTACTCTAGCTCGCTGACTGACCAGATGTCAATTTATATAGATCTGTGCATTTCCATGTTGTCATGGTACGATGTCACCACTTGGCCTTACTTTTATATACTGCTATCCCATGACTTTTGTCATAACAGTGTGTGCGTTTCATCAGAGGAATACATTGCCTTTTTTCCTCGTTATTGAGGATGTGAATCATAAGAGGGCTTAGAGTGTCTCGTGCATTTCAATCACGTGTCCGGTTGCCTCAAATTTAAAATTCTCTCTTTAAGGTCAATGTGTCTACAGGATACTTATGTTCGGTTGTGTGACGCATGCGTAAATTGAGATTTGGGGAAAAATTAACTAAAAATAACTCGTGACGTAACGAGTCCATTTGCCTCAATTACTGAAGCCTTTGTGTAACCAGGGAGCAGGTTGAGGCAATTTGAAAATGTCAAAAGTAATTAAATACACACACACATATATATATATATATATATATATATATATATATATATATATATATATATATATATATATATATATATATTATTCTGGTTGGCTTTTTTTATGTGATTGTGTCCTTTATGTAAAACTTTTATAAAATATTTGACGAAATTTAACGGATAGGACATTGTATAAATGAAACGTTGGAGAAAGTTACTCCACAGTATTACCTCCCAATGGGCACTAAAAGTTGAGAGACAGGGGTTGCCCTAACACCTGTGTGTATCTCTCTCTCTCTCTCTCTCTCTCTCTCTCTCTCTCTCTCTGTGTGTGTGTGTGTGTGTGTGTGTATCTGTCTCTGTGTCTCTATCTTCTCTCTGCCTTTATCTTTCTCCTTGTCTTTGTGTGTGTCTCTCTCCCTCTCTTTGTATATCACTCTCTCTCTCTCACTCTTTATCTCTCTCTCTCTCTCTCTACTTTTATCTTCCTGTCTCTCTCTGTCCACACACACATCTTAATTGTGTGTGTGTCTCTCTGTGTCTTTATCTCTCTCTTTGTCTGTATGTGTATCACTCTTTCTCTCTCTCTGTCTCTCCCTCTGTGTGTGTGTGTGTATCTGTCTCTGTGTCTCTCTTTATCTCCTCTCTGCCTTTATCTTTCTCCTTGTCTGTGTGTGTGTGTCTCTCTCCCTCTCACTCTTTATCTCTCTCTCTCTCTCTAATTTTATCTTCCTGCCTCTCTCTGTCCACACACACATCTTAATTGTGTGTGTGTCTATGTGCAGTAGAAAACGTTCTGATGTTTTCTCTTTTATTGAGTAACCACCTCAAAAATCCAAAGAAAAGCTTCCTCTGCCTGTCCACAAAATTATACAACTCTGTAAACTAATTACTAACCACTGTTTCTTCTCTATCAATAATAATCTCTATAAGCAAAAATTCGGCTTATCTATTGAGTCACGTATCAGTGGTGTTCTTGCTTGGCCTTTTTTAAGAATCTTTAAAATTCGGTCCATTAAAACACATCATAACGAAAAGCTCTATTTACCAAAGATATACAGATGAATTTCTTTATTATGTCCTCATAATATAAACCTATTAGACATAGTAATGAAACTTAATAAGGTTGAACCAACCATTGAATTCGCAAATGAATTTGAAATAAACAAATCTTTACCTTTTCTCGACATCTTATTAATATATAAGAAGAAGAAATTAAACTTTATCGTAAACCCAATAACAAAATTGATCTAATTAACTTCTATTCCCACCACGATCAAAGAATAAAATAAATATTAGTCACAGGATTCTACCTCAGAGCCCTTAGGATATGTCGCCGTGAGTAACGATTAAAACCTTCATTACTACTCGTATGTTCCGACATATTCTCAGCATCTCTCTGTAGAAAGACGTTTCTGTTGTCTCAAATCTCCTCTTCATCTGTGAGGAAATTGTCCAACATATAGGACTATTGATATTACATAGCAGTTCAGCACATTTGGTTTTGTTTCTAACGAAATTATCTTGTTTCTTAATTGTTTCTTAATACATCTTTGCCTATTCCAATCTGTCTTCTGATTTTGATGTCACATTTTCCAGCCTCTGTTAAAACACTTTCTATGTATTCAATTCCCGCGGCCGTAGCGTACTTTCCTTTCCCGCGGCCGTAGCGTGCCTTCCTTTCCCGCGTCCGTAAGTGCTTTCCTTTCCCGCGGCTGTAGCGTGCCTTCCTTTCCCGCGTCCGTAGCGTACTTTCCTTTCCCGCGGCCGTAGCGTACTTTCCTTTCCCGCGGCCGTAGCGTGCCTTCCTTTCCCGCGTCCGTAGGTGCTTTCCTTTCCCGCGTCCATAGCGTACTTTCCTTTCCCGCGGCCGTAGCGTGCCTTCCTTTCCCGCGTCCGTAAGTGCTTTCCTTTCCCGCGGCCGTAGCGTGCCTTCCTTTCCCGCGGCCGTAGCGTACTTTCCTTATGTCTTTTCTATAAATAATTTCACGGTAATTGTTCTGATGAACCTTCTTCTTTGGTACCCAGACTTTATGAATTTAAGTGCAGTACAAGATTGGCGGCAAGGACTCATCAATTCACAGTTGAAACGGCTAGATGTAACCGTAAGTTCTATGCTAACAGTTTCTCCTAACGCACTTCTTGCTTGTGGAACTTCCTTCTGGCTTCTTGTTTCCCAGTTAATTTTGATCTACAAAAATTTAAATGCAATATCAATCGTTATCTTCTGTTTGATTTTTTTTCTGTTTTCTTATTGTTTTTTTTCTTCACTCTCCTTAATAGTAGTTTTTTCTCATATTCTCTAACACTCGGTAACCTCTTACGTCCTAGTGGCTTTATTGCCTTTGATCTTCAAAAATTTAAATGCCAATGTCAGTCGTTTTCTTCGGTCGTCTTAATTCTTGTTCTTTTATTGTCCTCTCTCCTTAATAGTAGTTTTTTCTCATATTCTCTAACACTCAGTAACCTTTTGCGTCCTAGTGGCTTTATTGCCTTACATTCGATAAAATGATTAAAAAAATTAAACTTCTGTACTTTTTTATGTTGACATCTCTAATCCGTAGTTAGCATCTTTTATGCTTATTCTATTTTTTTTTTTTTTTTATAGATAAGCCATTCTTTGTTTTCTTACAGTTGATAGTTAGTCCTTTCTTCTTGCTTTCCTTCAATACCATGTTTAGGAAGTTCTGTCATTTTCTTTTTGTGTCTGCCATCAACACAGTGTCATCTGCGTATCATATATTAAGATAACACCCATCGATGATAAATTTTGGTAGCGTCACCAGCTCCTTTAGGATAGACTCGCTGTAGAGGTTGAACAAATCCGGTGAGGAAACACACCCTTGTCTTAAAGAACTAGATTCATAATGGTTCCCAATGCTATATATTATTTTTAAAAAAATCAATCTATTCCGTCACTCAAAAAATAGTGAATTTTCGAATTCTTCATGGTAAATAGTCAGCGCCACTAGAAAAAGGATCAAAAAGTAGATCAAGCAAAACTTAAAATCTTATGTAAAAACTAATGTCACTTTTGTTTGTTGGTTGCTTTGAGAACACTAAGCTAAACAGTTAAGTTACCCTACGCTAATATGGAGGTAAACAGAAAACAACATACCAATACGACAGCATATTGGCGTTCAAATATTAGGGTAAAATGAGTTTTAAGATACTAAAATTATTTTTCATTTTATAAAGTTTGTAATTTCTTCCGGTTACTTGTTTTTATTTTTTTACAATTTTGATGCATTAGACTGATTCAAAATAACAAGCTAAATTAGTCTTTGAAATTTTATTAAGTTTTATTTTAACTCAACAGCCATATAATTTTTTTTTTTTCATATAAACTTAAACTGTGTTCAAGAGAAATCCGCACGAAAATAAATGTTATCATTTTCACTGTTTCCTTTCAAAATTTTATATATATATATATATATATATTATATATATATAAAGTGAGCAAATTAAAAAATAATGTTTTTATGAAAGTATTTATATATATATATATATATATATATATATATATATATATATATATATATATTAGTTCGTACTAATAGTTCTTCCTTTATTCTTTCGACGACTCTAGTCGGAAATCTTTCCTCATACATAGTTACCTCCCATTAAATGTTGCCTGTAGCTTGACTCCACATATAAGAAATTTAATCTTCAGATTACCACAGCAATTTTTGTTTTTCACAACCATGAACACTACAATACTTACCTTATAATTAACAATACACTGATGATAACAGTATACTGTGTCGAAAGTACTCGGAGAATAAATACAATATGAACCAGCACGTTGTTTTCCTTTCGTATTTCAATAAACACACAAAAAAGCTTATCCATAAATATGAAAGGATCCTATGGAGAATAAGTAGACAGAACATGTCTAAATTATTTAACGAAAGCTCTCAAATTTCATCCTCCTTGGGATTACCCATACGGATTACCAAGTTTTTCCTAACTATATATATATATATATATATATATATATATATATATATATATATATATTATCCGCTCTACACATTCAATTTTTAGAATTGTGTATTGAGCACTTTCTTAAAATAAATATCCTTCCTCTAGTCTGGTCACATAGCTTATATATATATATATATATATATATATATATATATAAGATATATATATTTGACGTTTAATTTTTGTGACTCGTTAAGTAAATATATGATGCGTTGCATAAACAGTTTATATAGACAGGCTGTTACATACACGAGGTCCGGAAATGCAGCCTCTTAATATTAACCAAAAAAAAAAAAAAACAGTCCACCTAGGACAATGGCACCTTCAAAATACTTTCTGTTTCCAAAGCATTCTGCACACTCCTCTTTCAGGATCGTCAACAGTCGTTTCTTCATTCTCCTTAATCTTGTCCATGGTATTACAACGGCAACGTAAGCTTTGAGGGAGGCCAAAGGTCTTGACGATGAGGACAGAGTGACATTTGGGAGGAATGTGTTGTTTTGCCCAAAATACTCTGCGCGTGTTGTGAAGAATCTACTCTCTCATCTATTGGGCATGCCACGACGGTTGTACAATATACACAAGTTCACTCAGTGGTGTCTAAATGCCGACAGAGTAAACCCACGGGAGAGGGTCTGCTCTTGCATACGTAGTACATATGCGTACCAAATAAAATTACTGGCATAATTACGTTATTTCAATCATTTTTCCCTACCACCCACTTACTACAGGGCTTCTTAGCAGCGGCGTGTGTAATTGGGTTTTTCCGTTATTAATTTTCTTCGCAGCACGGTTATTTTGCTCCAGGGATCAAACGTTCTCGGAGGAACGTTTATTTGAAACAGTACCTTTATTTTATAAACCGATGAATTTTCACAGACATGATTAGTCTATATCGTAGTTGTAATTGGTATAAAAGAATATTGGCCCTTCTAATTTGATGCCAAATTACATCAAGACAACTCAACTCATTAGTCAATGAGAGAGATATTCAGAATGGCTGAATACGCCCTGGTGTTATATATATATATATATATATATATATATATATATATATATATATATATATATATATATATAACACTTATTTACAACCTCCTCCTCCCATCGCTGCTAAGTTCATCCTCCTCAACAAGATAAACTTATAGATTGTTTAAGTTTTCTGCCACGTGAACCGGTGGTCATCTGCTGTACAACAACGTTTCCCTAGATAGCTCTTCGTTTCCACTTGCAAGTCGGCCATATTCCTTGCAGATGTCGGAAGTGAAGACATGAAAGAGAAAGAATTCCATTTTCTCTCAGGGCGTACGAGTTGGGCAATTTTTGTTTTTTTTTTCTATTTTATTTTTTTTTTTTTTTTCATTTTATTTTTTTAAGGGCTGTCTAAACAAAGTAACGTGTCTGTTTCGTTTTTTCTCTTCTGCCTTTTTTTCTTCTCTCTTAATTCTTCTCTCTTTTCTCTTTCCTTTCTTATCTTTTTTCTTCTCTCTTTTTCTTCTCTTTTTCTTTTTTTTCTTTCTTTTTTCTTTTTCTTTTTCTTCTTTTTCTTTTTCTTCTCTTTTTCTTTTTCTTCTCTTTTTTCTTTTTCTTCTCTTTTTTCTTTTTCTTTTTTCTTTTTTTTTCTTTCTTTTCTTCTCTTTTTCTTTTTTCTTCTCTTTTTCTTTTTTCTACTCTTTTTCTTTTCTCTCCTCTCTTTTTCTTTTCTCTCCTCTTTCTACTTCTCTCTTTTTTCTTTTCTTCGTTTCGTCTTATTTTCTTTTTTTCTTTTTCATTTATATAGAGTAAATCACGATCGCAAATCATATTTATTGGGGGTGAATTTGATCGTGTATATAGTGAAGGAATCTGAAAAGTTCTCGATCGGACCAAGCAGCCATTACAAAAGACACCTTGTATTGGTGTATAAACACACACGTACACATCTATCTATCTATCTATCTATCTATCTATCTATCTATCTGTTGTAAAAACAGAACCAGTGAATAAACTTATACCAAAGCTTTATTGCACTTTACTCTGACTACTCGTCTACTGACTGATCTACAGGGTGCTTTATACCTCCCAGAACTGGGGAGGTAACTGGTGATTTATCAGTACATTCACCCCTAAGGATTTTATTCATAAAAGAGAAAATCTCTTAGGTGTCCAGTCTCTTTACAGATTCTCTGTGGACGCCTGTGTAGTTCTTGTATTGGAATATTCAGACTGGAAGATCTCTGAATTTGAGCTCGCCTGTTAGTCCTGGAATGAAAGTATCTCTTCCTTCTTGATGGCCGCTCTGAGTCTGAATGTAAATCTGTTTCTTGATATATGTGTTCGCCCTATACAGAGCCCGAGGGTAACAGATTAAGAAGCTCAGTTTATGTAATTATGTGGATAAGATAAGAAGATTCCGGTGATCGAGGAAACACCCTCTTAAGAGTCGGTTCCACAAAGCAGCGTTTCGTCAGAAGAAGCTGGAACTTACATCTCACTAAGGGAACGACGGTGGCTCACTACAATGTCCGTGGCTCAGCGGTTCTCAGTCGTGAAAGGTAGAACTGGTGGAACTAAGGAATATAATTCGTTTGAACACTTTCCATGGAAAGAGCGATACAGCAGCGAAAGGTTTGCGCCGTCTCGTCTATGAAAAAATGGTTGAAGGGTGGAAAATAATTTGTCACCCGTAAGGACGCGGAGTCGCTTTTAGACCCTATCGAAACTGGAAAGTGAAGACTGGGTAACTCCTGCCCATATATAACAACAAAAGTGATATTGACTATCCACGTATGCTCCTTAAATGACATAAAAATTGATGACCAATATAGTCTTTATATATTTTTATTTGGTTGACATGTGGGAACGTGTCCTGGGTATGACGATAAACTACATCCAGCAACAAGGCCTCTGATCAGGAGCATAGAAACACCTCTTAATTTCTGTTGTTCCCATGTCCACCCTGGCCAGTGGTGGTAGCACCTGTTAGGGTCCCAGCTATGGGGAAATAAATAACCCTCAAACTGGGGTCAAAACACCAGTAATATATTTTTATAGTAAAAAAAATATCAGAAATAGATTTTTGTAAAAGAAATTACTAATGCTCACAGGAAAATTAAATTTCGGCATTAAATGACCCATAAGGATGTTGATATGCCGCTAAACAAACAACAATAATAATAATGTGTTGGAACGCAGTAAGTAAAATAAAATTATTTGATAACAAGCACTGATAACAAAGCAACCGGAAATGTTTAATTTCCATAAATTTTACTAAGCTTCCACATCTTTTTTTTATCAATAGTGTATTGATTCTGGATACAATAGGCCTGATGGATATGTTGAAGGTTTGTCTGTTTGGGGTAAGTCGTATAGTGTGGGTGTAGTAGAGTATTAATCTAGTCCAGGATTTGTTTTTATTTTTTAATAGGTTCTTAACTGTTTAGTTGAATTTTTGAGTGTCTATATTTTCTGTTTGTTCGTTGTAATCTTTGTCGTCATTTAAGAAGATTCTAATTTTTCAATGTAGACGTTGGTATTCATTATGACTATTCCGCCTCCTTTATCGGCTGGGGTTATGATCATTTTTTTTATTTATGGATAAGTTTTTTTTAATGCTAGTTTATATCTCCTGGGTAAAGTAGATTCGTCGATATTTGTGAGGGTGACTGCTATACCTGTATGAAACCTTTTTTTTTTTCAAATTCACTGTGGTCGAATGTATGGTTTTCAGTTAGAGTTTTCATAGTGTCATCTTTTCAAAACCTGATGGCGAATTTTAAGCCTAAACTTAAATCCTCCACATCAGTGACAAAATGTTTGATGTTGGAAATTTTGTAGATAAGATTCGGTTGATTTAATTTGTTTTACGGCATATCAACACCTCAATGGGTTATTTCATACCAACAAGATTTTTATTGCTGATAATTTTTTTTTTTCCAAAAAAGTATTGAAAACCTATTTTTACACTTTCATAGCGTTTTGACCCCAATTTGGGAGTTAACTATTTGCCCATAGCCCGGACCCTAACAGGTGCTACCACCTCATGTCAAGGTGGACCTGGGAACACCAGCAATTAAGAGGTGGTTCCAGGCTCCTCAAAACCTCCTGATCAGAGGCCCTGCTGACGGATATAATTTATCGTCATACCCAGGACAGGATTAGATTCGGATTATCGATCTCTTTCCATCTGCTGTGAGTGCATAGGTCGTGAAGCTTGTGTTCACGAACTAATCTTAACTCTCTTACTCACCAGTAAAGGAATACAAACTTAACACGTTGGCTGAAGGCAAAGTAGATTATGTCCAAACGTACATCCATAGTAGCGGCACCGTTAAGCTTAATTTGGTCTGACACAAGGTCAAAATAATGAAGTGATTTTGGCAAGATCGAATTCCCAAATAATGGTTTGCTAGTAAGCATAGCTTTATTAAATTTGGCAAAGGGTGACAGAATTGGGGTACACAATGTGATGTGATAGGGTAAATGTTATTAATCAATTTACGTATTTTGTGATATGAAACTCGCTTTTTACTAACTTTTCTCTTATCAATCTCTTTAGATAGATAGATAGATAGATAGATAGATAAAGAGAGGCAGAGCGAGGCAGATAGATAGATAGATAGATAGATAGATAGATAGATAGATAGATAGATAGATAGAGAGAGGCAAAGAGCGAGGCAGATAGATAGATAGATAGATAGATAGATAGAGAGAGGGCAGAGAGCGAGGCAGATAGATAGAGAGAGAGTCAGAGAGCGAGGCAGATAGATAGATAGATAGATAGATAGATAGATAGATAGATAGATAGATAGAGAGAGAGAGAGGCAGAGAGCGAGGCAGATAGATAGATAGATAGAGAGAGGCAGAGAGCGAGGCAGATAGATAGATAGAGAGAGGCAGAGAGCGAGGCAGATAGATAGATAGATAGAGAGAGAGAGAGAGGCAGAGAGCGAGGCAGATAGATAGATAGAGCGAGTCAGATAGAGAGAGACAGAGGACGAGGCAGATAGATAGATAGAGAGAGGCAGAGAGCGAGGCAGATAGATAGATAGAGAGAGGCAGATAGATAGAGAGAGGCAGATAGATAGAGAGAGGCAGAGAGCGAGGCAGATAGATAGATAGAGAGAGGCAGAGAGCGAGGCAGATAGATAGATAGATAGATAGATAGATAGATAGATAGATAGAGAGAGAGAGAGAGGCAGAGAGCGAGGCAGATAGATAGATAGAGCGAGGCAGATAGATAGAGCGAGTCAGATAGAGAGAGACAGAGGACGAGGCAGATAGATAGATAGAGAGAGGCAGAGAGAGAGACATAGATAGAGAGAGGCAGAGAGCGAGGCAGATAGATAGATAGAGAGAGGCAGAGAGCGAGGCAGATAGATAGATAGAGAGAGGTAGATAGATAGAGAGAGGCAGAGAGCGAGGCAGATAGATAGATAGAGAGAGGCAGATAGATAGATAGAGAGAGGCAGAGAGCGAGGCAGATAGATAGAAAGATAGAGAGAGGCAAAGAGCGAGGCAGATAGATAGATAGATAGATAGATAGATAGATAGATAGATAGATAGATAGATAGATAGATAGAGGCAGAGAGCGAGGCAGATAGATAGAGAGAGCGAGGCAGATAGATAGAGAGAGGCAGAGGACGAGGCAGATAGATAGATATGGATCGATAAATAGAGAGAGATAGATGGAGGCAGAGAAAGAGAGGGGGGATTGTAAATTTACCAGATTTACAGTGTACTTTTATACTATTGTTCATCAATCTTCAATCTCTTTATTATTTACTGCTGACCTACAACCTTAACGCGGAAATGAATCTAGAATAAAAGGGGGGGTCAGTAAACTTTGACGACCCGTCAGTTACTGTCACATTTGGTCTGATGCTTTGTGTATTTAGAGAATCTTGTTAAAATCCAAAGAATCAGCAATATTATTGGTCCTTATCTGACATCTCGGTTTCCCACCGACATAACGTAGCTTCCCTGTTCCATTTTCTACAAATATTTTCATAATAATTGTTACTTTTTGGTACCTCCTCGAATTAGCGCAGTAACTAGATTGACAAATAGGTCTTCTCATTTTACGGTTGAAATAACTGGATGTAACCGTAAGTTCTATGCTAACAGTTCCTTCACTCGCACTTCTTGCTTGTGAAACTCTCTTCCGGTTTCTTGCTTTTCAGTCAGCTTTGATATTCAAAAATTTAAATGCAATTTCAACCGTTAGCTTCCATCTTCTTAATTCCTGTTCTTTTATTGTTCTCTCCCCCTCAATAATGTTTTTATTTTTCTCCTGTTCTGTCACACCCCGTAAGCACTTGCGTCTTAGTGGCTTTATTGCCTTGTTTGGAGTGAAATCATTTTTTTTTTTTTAAATTGTTTTCTCATACTTTCCTCTTTCCCCCACTGCTGGCCGTACGAGGGTACACGGTAGATATCTGCACCCTAGCAAGAAGTATTCTCTAAGACATCATGTGTCCCGTTATCATTTCTTTGGGTTTGTTTCAAATTGTTGTTTCTGTTTGAAAATTGTTTACCTTTTTTTGTGTGCATTTCTTTCAAATGTAATTGGCTTGGCCATTTCTTTTTGAAACCCACGTTTGATTCTAAATTTCACGGTGTTAATTCTTCGTTGAGTTGACTCGTCAATAAAAAATATAATATCAGTATGAAGCGTGGACCTTTTTTTTTTCTTTTTCATTGAGATCAACATGTAGTTAGGAGTACAACGATCAGGTTCAAATCCGCAGCACCTTCTATGACCTACGAAACTTACTCTATCGCTAAGGCACTTTAAGTGGACCTTTACCAAGCCTAGCGTCATCTTGCATATGGTCACAATTTGGGGATACCAAGTTGAGGAAGTAATTCACGACTCAACTATGGAATGTTAGACAAACTTACAAACAAACTATGCTTTCCTACAAAGAGCCTTACGGGTGCGGGTGTAGACCTAAGAAAATGAAACTGCATCTAGTGAATTCCTGTAAAATAGTCCGCTTAACCCACCTGAAAATGTGGTCTTATGATTATTATTATTATTATTATTCCTGCCACTCCTCCGTAAACGAACGCAGAGTTGCGTACTTAGATTTGTTATTAAGTTCAGTATTAACGAAGCGGAAATCCTCACCTATTGTAAATTATATATATATATATATATATATATATATATATATATATATATATATATATATATATATATATATATATATATAATATATATAAAAAACTTTTAATAAATGCGAAATATTCTGTTTATTCTCTTTCACCAGAAAGTGGGTAAGTAGGTCACGTAATAGAAAATAGACCAGACATGGGCAACCTTTTATGACTAGTGGGTCGCATCAGATATGGCTCATCATAAGTATGGTTGCGCTACTAAAAAGATTCAAGGTAATTTTTCGTTAAGGTACCTTACCACAGAAAACCATACGCATAAGCATCTGTCTTAAAAATAGGGAAAAGATTGATTGTTTTTGGTGAAAATATTTCTCAATAATTAAAAGATGGCCTCTTGGTATAATCTCATTAGAGATTAGTGATTAACACACACCGCTGCATGTGATTTGTTTCTTATTTATTCATTCGAAAATACAAGAATTAATTTTTAAAATTGTTATATAGGAATAAAATATCGCTGCCGACACTTGAGTTTGAACATAGATCGCCAGGAAGCAAACACAGGCGATCCCATTGTTGCATTAAGTAGACCACGTGACCATAGAGAAAACGCATAAGTTGGAAATCGCGTGACGTCTAAATGATCACTATTTCTATTCTATCCTCTATTACAATTTGGATCGCTATTTCTACTCTGTTCACTATACTATTTCGATATTCGGATCACTATACGGGTTACTTTTCGAGCGAGTATTATCGATCAAGTACTATTAAGGAGAGTTTTACTTGAAGGAGCCTGACACCAGTACTTTTCAACGGCGTACTATACTACAATACGCATTACGAAAGTGACAACGAGTATTCGTTGACACTACAAAAATGGCAACGAGTGTTCGTTGACATCACAAAAAAAAAAAATAAAAAATATATTTCTTCTCCAGAGAAAAAAATAGGAACGCAAATGACATTTACACGTATGATCTTCCTTAGTGGAAATCACCAATCATCTAAAATGATGAAAACGTTACCTTCAACGAAAAATTACAAAATTCAAGAAACATTTTACTACATCATTGTTTATGCATTTAGTTATGTATGAGAAAATGTGAGTGAACAAGTGAGGACGAAACGAAACAGAATTTTTAATAAACCTTAATAATATAATAAAGCTTATTTTCATCAGGAAATTCGGCGTGTGCTATTCAGAAATCCGAACGAGTCGCATTTGGCTTGTGGGTTGCAGTTTTCTCACTATACGAGACATTTCTGCTGTGGTTTGTGTAAATTTTAATGGGATGGAGCTACTCGCCCCACCCTAACCAGTTTTGAATTCAGAGTTTTCCTTCTCTTAGACTGGTTGCTATCCAAGGCTATAGAACCCAATTTGACCTGTTATTAATCCCCTAGCTGTGAAGAGGAAAGAGGACGTCATACCTTTCCAAGAGTACTTGTGCGACAGCTTCGATTGGGAATTGAACTCTGCAAGTCAAGACTTATTTTCTGCGTCGGTAGCCACTACACTCCGCGCACATCCAGCTTCGCTTGAAGGAGTGATGTAAATATTCATCTTAATTTCACTTACTTTTCATCGCAACTATCCAGAAAGTCACGATACACCCGTTAATGAACAACACATTTCAGAAATAAGTTCTAGTTTAGACTCGAATCATATTTTAGCTGAAAAATCTTAACTATGTACAACTATTACTTATATTATTTACATTATTCGGACTGCTATCCTCATCTTTATTGCCATATTCACAACGTTTCGGCCATTGTACGCTCCGGCCTTTATGTCTATGTCTCTCTCTATATATCTGTCTATATCTCTGAGATGAGCTATTATGATTACTTGTATTATTTACATTATTCGGACTGTTATCCTCATCTTCATTTCCATATTCACAACGTTTCGGTCGGAGTATGTTCCGGCCTTCTTTAGATGATTGGAATTTCGAACTGAACCCTTTATTTGAGATGAAGATGAGGATAACAGTCCGAATAATGTAAATCATAATAGCTCATCTCAGAGATATAGAGGCCGAAACGTTGTGAATATTGCAATGAAGATGAGGATAACAGTCCGAATAATGTAAATAATGTAAGTAATCATAATACCTCATCTCAGAGATATAGACAGATAACGTACAACCATGTTTTATCATTTTATCTGCAAGTGAAAACATATGGCGATAAAAATCCTTTCTTATTTCAAGACAATTCTTCTCATTTTGGAGGTTTATTTTTTAAAAAAATGTAGAAATCGAGAATTGCACCTTCTATGTGCCATGCACCTTCAAGATCATGGCTCTCCACAATTTCCTGTCATTTGTAGCTCTTATTAAATTTTGTTTTTTGCTTTCTCTCCTAAACCCAGTTCATCCATTTACACAAGCGCGTTAGGTAGGTTATTCATTACTTTCCACTGTCCCTTTTGTATTAAAAATGTCTTGTGTGTGTCAAAATTTCCAAGCCTTTTTTCCTCATGACTTGCCCTAGAAGTTTCAACTTTTCCGGTTTTGTATAATTAATGAAGGGGAAAATGTTGAAGATAGAGCAATCTCAAATTTCTGACGAAGCTAAAATAAAAGCGAAACATGCTAAATTTGTAAACGTTTCGTATTTGTTCCTTATTCTACCATAAAAAAAGAAACAATAAATTCTTAAACTGACTCTTTGCAAATTGATTTTATCATCTATAAAACTGAAATTATGAAAATTTAACACTGCATATGGTCTTCAAAATGACACATGCACACACACACACACACACACACACACAGTTTGCGCGCGTTCCCTTGAATAGTCCCCTATTTTTGTCAATATATATATATGTGTGTGTGCGTATATATATATATATATATATATATATATATATATATATATATATATATATAAGTGAATAGGTTATAGTAGTTCCAACGAGAGAAAAGTGTGTATATTAAAAAGAGAGAAATCGCAAACGTTTTTGGTTGTAATGTGGATTTTTTAAAAATATATTATGCTTTATTTCCCATAATTTTGCTACACGAGTTTCCTGTCTCGCGACCTTCATCAGGCAAAGCGTAGAGATTTCCACATATTATTAAAAATAATTTTTTTTTCTTATGTTTTACAATGTTAAATATTCTCAATATGAGACATTCTCTTTTTAGTGTGTTAGTGACCCAAATGTCTTTCTTGAACTGGATGTGAAAAGTTCTGCGTGAAGGGTTATAAAACAATGAAGATTGGTCCGAGAAACGGTGAAGGGGTTATCGGCATTCTTATCATTTAATAACCCCTGTGTGTTCTTAGATCTCTTTCCATTTTCTTCTGTTTTTGTCAGCATGCGTGTATATATGTATATTCCCTCTCCATACATACACACTGTCTTATAACGTGGAATTAGTAAACACATTTGTACACATACACACATAAAAAACACACACATATACATATGTACATACATATACATATACTTCCCAAGTTACAAGGAATCAGTTTACACACTCACACACATATACACGCATATATACGTACGTACATGTACACACACTTCCTAAGTGTGTGTAGGCTTTGGTGCGTGTGCCCCTGAATAGTCCCCTATTTTTGTCAATATATATATATGTGTGTGCGTATATATATATATATATATATATATATATATATATATATATATATATATATATATATGACTGATGTTACCTTCAACATCAGAGATTCGTAGACGGACCTGTCTGTCCACTCTTTAGTGGGTATCAGTAATTCTCGGGATATATATATATGGTTGGATTGATGTGAGTTTGTGACCCTGGGTTTAAACCCAGGGTCACAAACACACTCAATCAATCCAACCAAATATGTTAGCTCTATCTCTGATATTGAGCGCTTTCTAATAAGTACTGCGCATATAATATATAAATAATTATATAATATATATATATATATATATATATATATATATATACACACACTTTTCACACACACACACACACACATATATATATATATATATATATATATATATATATATATATATATATATATCTGTTCAAAAATTACCATCGCGACGATCATAGTTACAATAAGGTGGTTTAGTTTGTCTTTGCAATATACTACTGAGGATTTTCTTAGAGGAGATCGAAAGTACTTGCGTAAAAAATAACTGCGGCGCCTTTCTTGATGAATTTCAGTCTAACACCAAGGAACTAATATAAAAAAGGATTATATATATATATATATATATAATAGCTGGCAACTCGTATTCGAGGATACTCGTCTACTAGGGCCAATATCCAGTCGCTCGCTCAAGCGCATTTGTGTTTGTTCAACACTCACACAGCCCACCTGTGGTTTATACTGCAACTATGCTGAGCAGACCTTAGTTACAGTTTCTGGGTGAGAGCGTGTTATCTAGTGTGATAAACAATCTGAACAAGGCCAGCACACTCAAAACCTCGGTCATGATGACTTGTGACTTTGAGCCATAACAGCTATCGACGGTCTTCCACGTGTTCCGTCTACCCAATTTCACTCACGAGGCTTAGGTCAACCCTTGGTATGGTTTTCAGGCACTTTCCAAAGGTCTCGTACGCTGGCATCGTCCCCCTCCAGCCCGATAAAGTCAGGAAGTCACCATCGTGACAAATCATCCGTGGTGAGATTCGAACCAGGGTCTTATACATACACATACACACATACAAGTTTCATTAAAAGTGACTGATAGGGTACTGCGGTTATGTTTTTTATTTAATTTTTCTTGTCTTATAATTTTCTTCTTTTCCTGATGTAAATTATGTAGAAATTGTCTGAATGTTTTTATGTCCGAATGTTTTATGTATTTAGAATTATAGGAATGTTTTATTTCTCCAAACACGGTCAACACATTGTGGCCGTGTTCATATTGATCTTATATAATCCATACATTCTGTTAATTTAAAAAAAAAAACTGTGCGATGCGACGTCCTACACGAGGCTTGAAGTACGTCCTTGCTCGCTAATATGGAGTGGGTCGGCCACACAGTATGCAAGCTCCTTCAGTAGTGTCTTACGGCCGACTAACTCCACGTAAGAGTATCTACTCCTTTCTGTGCAATAAGGTCTCCTCTGAATGTGCTAGCTTGCGGGCATATCACATTGAAACACCCATTACCGTACGATCAACGAAGTTAAGCAAGGTCGAGCCTGGTCAGTACTTAGATGGGTGACCACTTGGGAATAGCAGCTGCTTAAGTTTGGATGTGCGGGTAGTGTAATGGCTCGGAATTGTTAATCAAAGAGCAGAGTTTCAATTCCAGGTGGGTTCGTCAAATACCCTTGGGAAAGATATAAATCCATCTCTTCTCCCCTATCTATGGGTTGATTAGTAAGACTTGAATCGCTAAATCATTATTATCTCTAAAAAAAAAATTACAATCTAAAAATATTTTCTGGTTTTAAATAACTTGCAACGGGTTGATAAACCGTAAAAACAAATCAGTCAATCAATCAATCTGAATGTGCTACCAAGTACGTCAGGGCCGCGTAACTGGTTCTCGGATTATCTCCAACTATATATCTCGAGATTTTCGACAAAATCCAAAGGAGGGTCTGTATTGTTATAGATCCTGACCCGGTATCTCGACTACCGACATTTTCTCACCGACGTGACGTGGCCTTCTTTTGTCTTTTCTATAAATATTTTCATGTCAGTTATTCTAAATGGGCTCTCCTCTTTGGCACCCCTATTGTGTGAATTTAAGTGTACTCCTAGATTTACAATATCTTTTTACTTTTGAAATAGCCAGTTGTAACCGTAAGTTCTATTCTAATCATTTTTCTCGCAATTCTCACCTGTGGAACTCACTTCCGGTTTCTTGCTACCCTGTCACCTAAAATCTTCAAAGATTTAAATGCAATGTCAATCGCCATCTTCTATCTTCCTGAACCCTGTGCTTTTAATGTATTTTTCCTCACTAAAGTCTTCTTATTATCATCTACTCCCTGTTACCCTCTGCATCTTAATGGCATTAACGCTTTGCTTAGGATAAAATGATTAAAAATAATTACCAACTACAACTTTGGTTAAAGTTAATGGTTGAAATCTCATACATGTCGTTCAATGTCAATGGAGCATATTATCGGCTTAATTCAAAGCCTCCATCTTGGTCTTACTGCAAAAAAAAAAAGAAATTAAAATGAATGTCATTTTTAATCGTTGTCTTTCATACAACCTGACGGATTTCACCATTCTTGTTACCTAGCCAAAAAGTACAAACAATGAAAAGTGGCTTCAAGTATTTAAGCAAACGATAAGTTATGAATAAGTGCCTGCCACGTTCGTTAACATGCCAACAGGCGTCCATACGATTTGATTTAGGCATTCAGATTAGATCAGACGGGGCACAAAGTAGACAAAAGCCTACTACAGATAATTTTACGACCCCATTCACGGCATTCCAGTCCTTTGTTGAGCTGAATACAAGCAAACGAGAAACTTCGGAAATTTTCGCAAGTCAATAAAATTTCGTACTGTTAATCTTTTTACCAATAATTCAGTGAACTTGTTTCACTGATGTTAGACTATTGGACAATGAAGATGAGGTTCAATTTACTTTCTTTTCCGCATCCACAAATAGAAATCGATTGAAGTATTTATTATAATGAATATTAACTTTAAAATAGTAATATTATTTATAGTTTTATTTATTACTGTGAATAGATTATGGTAAACAAAAAGAAAACTGTCATTGGTCAGAAATTAATGCAACATTTCTGTCGAAATATTCTCATTATGTATCATATGAATGCACTGTTCATGATTTTACAATAGAAATACATTGAAAATTAGGAAGAAAGGGATTGTCATTGGCCAGGAATTAATGCAACCGTTACTAATGCCATACAATGAAAATGCCCGTCTGAATTTCTGGGATAAGTATTTTGATTAATTCGTTTACTACGGCTTTGCAGGTTTTTTAAAGACAGAAAATGTTTTATCTTGTAACGTTTTTTCCCTTTTTTTTCTTTTTCGAGATAATAATAATTTACTAACTAATTAACCTATACCTGGAGGGAGAAGAGGTGGATCCATATCTTTCCTAAGGGTATTTGCACCTAAATGAATATAGAATGGGAACTTTACTCTCTGTTTAACAAATTCAAGCCATTATCCATTGCACCACCCGCACATCCAATCTTACGGCACCTAGTATTCTCAAGTGGTCACCCATCTACGAACTGAACAAGGTTGCTTAACTTCAGTGATCGTACTGCAACCGGTGTTTCAACGTGATGTTGCCGTAAGCCTGATATTAGGAGTTATCATTACTTATTTACATGCTGACTACTTTTCTCATCTCTTTTTGTTGTTATTCCAACGTTTCGACCATTGTTCCTTCTGGACTTCTTCACGTGTTTGTCGTTCCGGGTAACCTTCATAGAATTTCGAACTGAATTGAATTCAACTGCACACTACCCGACCCAAGGATTGAACTCACAATTAATGTCAACATATTCACGAACAAACGCTTTAACTCACTAGGTTGTAGCTCAACAAACTTTAATGGAGAGCTTGGAGCCTTAAACCGAACCTTCCGACTGGCGAGTACTGCTACTGCTGCTTTTCACGCTTAACAGGTCTCACCAAGACTTCTCCTTTTCTATATCGGTTGCTGCTGAAGCTTTGCTGTCATTTCTTTTTTTCTTTAGTTCGCATGTATATAATTTAAACTATAAAATACTTTGCCCCCGAAATACTCTTCCAAATCCACTGCGGCTCATCTGGAGTATCTTTGCCCCATTTTCCCCCTAGAATAATCTCTGCTGAGGGATATGCACATACCGCCCCCCGTCCGTCGTTTTTGCTATCATTTCTAAACTAGATCCCCACAAGGCTCGCGGATTCGACAATGTCCCTGGAATTATCCCAAAGAAATGTGCTCCGGAACTGGCTCCTGTTCTCTCTAAACTTTACAATAAATGCTTCGCTTTTTCTTGCTTTCCGACTTGTTGAAAGTCCTCCTCTGTAGTTCGTGTCTTTAAGGACCCCGCGTAACTGTCTAACCCCTTGAATTATCGCCATATTAATCTTTCGCCCCTTTCTGGTAAGTTATTTGTGGCTCTAATCAACGCCGAAACGGATCCAAAAGTCGTATGAAGTAAGATACTTAACCAAGAGGATTTACTGAGAACGAAAGAAAATTAGAAAACGTTAGTTGGTTAAGAGGCATGGGATTTGAAGAGACAGAAGATAGGGATTAACGTTACATTTAAATTTTTGTAGATCTGTAAAATACTTACAGGGAAGCGAGAAACCGGAAGAGCGTTCCACAGGCAAGAAGTGCGAGAGAAGAAATTATTAAAATAGAACTTACGGTTACATCTAGTTATTTCAACAGTAAGATGATGACTTAATTGCCAATTCATGAAGACGAAATACCAAAGAGGAAAACTCATCAGAATAACTGCTATGGAAATATTTGTAGAAAAAGCAGAGGGAAGCTTGGTCACGGTGGTGAGAAATTGACTGAAGCCGAGATGCCTGGTCAGGACCGATAACAGATGTAACGGCGTGCTCCATTCGTCTGACACTGCACAACATGATGATATCCAAGGTCAGTTGTATACATATACACGCGGCTAGCTATGTTCACAGATTTGTCGACAAAGAATTGCTTTTCAACACTCTCTGGTTGGGAAATAGCAACAACACGAATTCTCTATGTTTTCCTTTAGCTGAACTGCTATCTCGCTAACTTTCAGCCACGAGAAGAGAATCCTTACATTCACTGACCTTCTTGACGACTGCTGATTTTTCACTGCTCGCTAGTCCCTTCCTCACTGGCCGCTGGGCACTTACTCACTGCTGGACAGCTACTAACTTTACTGACTTCCTGCCTCTCTCTGCTTATATAGATACTGGCTTGGGCCCGACCACCCCTATCCGTCCCTTTGTGTTCCGGAACAAGAGACCACCTATTCGGTTTTTTGGGCGGTCAGTTTCTTCAAAGAACTACTATGGAGCATTATAAAGTACATGATCTCGAGAAAGCAGTTAAGCAACATGCTTCAGAAGTTTTCTATGTGGTTGAGGTCAGGAGATTGAGGCGCCCATGTCATAACACTCACCTGCTTCTCATCAAAGTATTCCTTCATCAATTTTGATTTGTGACAGGGAACATTATCCTGCATAAAAATGAGCTTGGTGGGAGTCGATTTGCACCCTTTCAGCAGAAGGGAGCAGACAAGACTCTAAAATTCTCTTGTACTGCTCGCTCCTGGGGGACTTTTCGATAGGTTTTAAGAAACCAGTTCCATGAAAAGAAAAGCATCCCCAGAACATTATACTGAACGGATGCTGACAGTACTTACTGCTAAATTCAAAGAGCTTTCAAAGATTCTTCTTCAGATTTTAGATCGCTTATCCCTTAAATTTAGCTTAACTTTCGTTTCATCGGAGAAGAGAACTTTTAGTAAAAAAAAATCAGGTGAGTCACTTTTATTGAACAGCACTGTAGATACCGTGTCGGTAACCGATTTCGTCGGGAAGGTCGTTGTTGAAGACAACAGAGTAGGTTCAACGATAGACCTCTGGTGGACACTCGCATTAATGTAAAAAAAAAGATCTAGACGATTGGCCTTTCAAGATAACTTTCATTACGTGATTTGTTAAGAAAGATCGGATCAAATAAAAACTTCCATCGGAGACGCCATAGCCCTTCAGCTTGTGAAGACGACCCTGACAAACACCTGAGAGATCTCTAAAGCCACATCTAGAACTTCGCTGTTCTTATCTAAAGCTTCCCGCTCTTTCAGTAAACCATTAACAGATTGTTGGTTGACCTAGAGAAGCGAAAGCTATGTTGGTTTTCTTTTCTGAAAGAAAAACCTGTGAGGTGAGATGTTTAACCAATTCGGCGTTGATTAGAGCATCTAGTACTTTATCAAAAAGAGGTAAAACACTAATAAGTAGATAGTTCGAGGACTGTTAGGTCTTTGTGTCAGACTACGTTAAACTGAATGAATTATTTAATGGAAGGCGTCAAAGAGGTGACAGACTGATATTTGATAAGGGTGCCATCCATCATTTCTTGTCAAAGCAAATAATTACAAAAAGAAGCCGAACACTGGAGTGAGGCAGATGGTTTGTTAATCGGTCTTTTTTTTTCTTCTTCTTTTTGTGGCACGTAAGTTTTTGTTAACCAGGTCAAATATAAAATTCAAAATGTATATCAATCGAAATAAATGA